CCATGTGACATAATGTGCTTGGTGTCGATCTAAAACTACTGGAAGAATATTATGGATTTTTTAAAAAATCTTAACTAGTGCACACACTAGGTATCAAAAGAGTGCTAGATAAGCTACTATTTTCTTCCTAAGGAAAATTCGAACAATCAAGCTTTCCTCCTTTGTATCCATTTAGGCTTCTTCATTGCCTCTAGAAATTTTACAATATAAATAAAATCCAAATGTGTTTTAGAGAGAACTGATAGATATGAGCACAGGCAAAGGACCAGGTAAATAGACTCCCATATTCACAAGTGTGCACTATGGATACCTCTGAAGTCTTAACACTTCCTCTAGTCCTCAGAACAAAGAGACCATACTTCGGCTTCTTTCACTCCCTCGCTGATTGAGTATCTGAAATGTCCAAATCACTCTGCTCGGTACCATGAAGTATAGAGAGAAGGAAAACACACAATTTCTCCTAGTAAGGAGCATATCATCTACTAAGGAAACTATGACAAGTCTATCAATAACTAAAATACTAGAGAGTGGTCGCTGCCAGAGGAAAATTGCCATTCTCTGACAGTCCAGGGAGAGAGACAGTCACACCCAGTGTCTGTGGCAGGTGGAGAAAGAGGACCATTGGGGGTGGAAGAACGTGAGAAGGAGTTGTTGTAAGGAGAATAGTAAAAGCTTTAGTGAACAATAATTCTCTTTTTATTTGTTTAAGCAGTTTCAATTATTCATCTATATTCAGTAACCATCCAAATAATGTATTTTATGAAGACCACTCCAACACTTAAAATATACATAAGCTAAGTAAAGAGGAAAATAGGTCTCTAAGTTCAGAAAAAAAGCAGAAAAAGGAAGTTACCTAAATACTTTCAAATCACACACTGCTGGAAAGAAGGTGCCTGAATGCCAGAATTTAGTGCTACTTGGCCCATTCAGAGCTATCGAGTCCTCAAGACTTATAGGTGTTCGCTTTTCCTTAGGCAAATGGATGATATCACTTAAAGAAAACACATCAGTGTTCTGAATCATTAGATCCAAAGAAGTATGTGGACATGAAGGGCAACAGTACTTGGGGAAATAATCTACTCAAAAACTCTGAAAAGCTGAAAAACATTGTATTCAGACTTATTGAATATAAGTAGCGATGTGGGGTGTTAGGGAAAGTACAGTACATTTGGAGTCCAGGCTAAGTTTAAATCCTGGTGTTAACACTTACTCTGTGAGTGACTGCAAGTTATTCTGCTTTTAACTTTGCCCGTAAAATGAGGATAATAATCCTTTTCAAATTCTGTTCTCATGAACACTTACACTACTGAATGCATTAGTTAGGCACACAATAAGAGCTCAATAAATATTAGTTTTCTCCTTCCAGCCCCCACTCCACTATTCCAGTAATTCTCAAAGCTAAAAGATTCATTTCAATGCCGTTATTTCTTAGAATTTTCTCATGTTTCTCTACTATGCACATTGTCTTTGATATAGTAATATACTAATACCATAAACAGGGCATTTCTCATGTTTGACCTGAAAAGTTGAACTTTTCCTCAACCTTTATTTTCAATAAATAGTGATAGAATATTTTGATACATTTTCAATAAGTATCTTCATCTTGGCATTTATCTGGCAGCAGGAGACCATTATCTTGTGATAAATAGTTTTATTCCGTTGACATTTCCATGTCTGTAAAATGAACAAGATTTATTCATCCAATTAACATTTGAATGTCATGTTTAGCTACAAATTATAAACAAGCTGCCTTCAGTATCTGTGTTATATTGTTTTCTGAACACATTTACAGAGTTGGGCCAAACTCTACTCTTAAGCACTATACATCTTCAAAACATGCACATGCACAAGCGTGTGTGTGTGTGTGTGTGTGTGTGTGTGTGTACTGATGTTGGAAGAGGCAAATAAGATTCTTAAGTATTTCAGTGTCAAAGAGTAAACTAAATAATTAAACTATAAAAAGATGGCATGCATTTAAAATAATTTTTACATGTCAAAGTTAGAAGAAATCAAGTAGTAGGATAACAAAATGTTAGAGCTGGTATAACCAGTAATTTTAAAAATAAGGCAACCTAAGTCTTGTGAAATACACATCTGCCAAAATTATTCAGCCAGTTCACAACTGAAGTCAGAATCCAGGTCTCAGGACTCACAACCCAGAGCTTTTCCTGATCTTCCATGCTTTCCTGAAGGCAGAGACGTTGTGAATGCTTTAGAAGAATTACTGAATAAATGATAAATGAAAGAATGCCTTCCCTGGGGCCGGCCCGGTGGCGCACTGGATAAGTGCGCCGCTTGGGAAGCACGGCGGTGCTCTCGCCCGAGGGTTCGGATCCCACATACAGACCGGCTCCCGCTCATTGGCTGAGCGAGGCGCG